CGTTTTTATTTTTCTTTGATTAATTTTGTTTGCTATTTCATTTGTCACTTTCGGGTCTCTAAAAATATATGATTTGAAAAACTGTACTTGTACTATAATGTGACCCCAAATAAATAAAGAATAAAAAATAAATAAAAGAACAGATATGAAGAGGTTCTATTAAGGTTTTGAAGGTGTTCCCTCTCCTGAAGTGTGTTCTATGGGTTTTAGTGCATGTCAATGGTCTGCAGCGGACAAAACACCCTCTCCCAAACAGAAGTGAGAGAAAATATCACAGCTGATTTTGGGCTGAGATTATTGGTCTTTGGGCTTACTCCTGTAAGGTCTTTAAGGTGCTGCTATTTGACATGTCCCCCAGGATACATGTCTATTATACTAATATAGTGTTACTCATATACTTTTAATTCTAATGTTGTCATTAATTACTTACTTTTTTTGGTCTAATCTCTCTCTCTCTCTCACACACACACACACACACACACACACACACACACACACACACACACACACACAAATGTATATGTACAAGGCAACAAGGATGCCTTTGACGTGCTGGGGATCAAACTAGTGACCCCCTGATTGATAGTCATGCATTTGGCCCTCGAGCCACCTAGACAAATGAAGGAGGAGGAGCCAAAGTGGACTGTGGTATCCAGAAAAATACAAGGTCACCAGGACGTCTGGAACCAAAATACACATATCTTTCTTTCAATATTTCCGAAGACAAAAGAGGTTTCATGTGCCGAACCCCGCTCCCCCACATTTAAAACCAATGCTTAAACCTCTAGGTTACTCTCAAGACTATTCCACAGTGAAATACCAGCTTGTGTTTTCAGTACAGACTCGTAAAAACATGCTGTTAATATAGGAATATTCCTCGTTCAGACCTTGAAGGCCCCAGGCGTGATGAAGGAGATGTTGTTGTGCTCCACAGAGAGGCTCTTCAGGGCGGGGAGGGTCCCGAAGGCCCGCTCTGAGAGGAACTTCAAGCTGTTCTTGTCCAGGTTGATGGCTGCCGCCTCGCAGGGAAACTCTGGAGGAATCTGCGCCAGACGGGAGCGGTCACAGAGAACAGAGCAGCTCCTCTCGGGGGTGCAGGAGCAGGAGGGGGGGCAGGAGCGCACACAGGCCCAGCGAGCGAGGAGGGGCTGGGGGAGGAGGACCAGAAACACCACTGCATGGGAGGGAGCAGGAAGACAGGGTTAGAATGATATAAAGAAAACACAGCAGGAGAGATCGCAACGACACGGTTTGAGTTATCAAAGAAAAACACTGTCACGATGGAGAAAGTGGACTGATGTCGTGAAACCTCAGAAGCCAGAGTTTATTTTTACAAACGTATGATTTTACTGTGAAGTCCTGATCACTCCCTAATGTTCGTATTGTTCGTACTTTTTACTGCTTTTATTTAAGGTAATTCGGACGGACAAACTTAAGATGTACAATAACTATGTCTTGAAAAAACAAAAACAGGTAACACTTTATATTAAGGTACACAAATTAACCATCAACTAGTTGTTAATTAAGATGCATATTATCAGTATATTGGCTCTTTATTAGTCATTATTAAACACTTATTAATGCCTTATTCTGCATGACCATATTCTACAAGTAATAAGCCATTAGTTGAGAGTTTGTCCTTAATAACCCTCTAATTAGTGCTTATTCATTGCAAGTAAGGAAGTTGTTGTACATGAGTTTTGGTCAGGGACGTGCACAGGTACGGGCTAATGTTGCCGGGGCAACGGCCCGTTTGGCCTTTTTGGCTGACCTGCCCCTCCGGAGAGAGCGAGAGTTGATAAGCCCACAATTAGTATCGTAGCGTCTCGCTGCGGGAAACACACTTTGTCAGCGCTGTCATCTGCCGGTGCGTTAAGACCACCTCAGTGTCGGATTTTGGAAACTTGATTTTGAGTTGTCTCATGGCGCAGTTAGGGTATAAGAGACAAACAAGAGGACTTTACTTGCTCTTGATACCGTCGGTTATTTACAAAAAAACACCTAAATATAGCCTACTTGTTGTTATTGAGCTTCTGTCTTTCTGTGTCTTCTCATCTGTAAACTCTCTCAACGGGGCCGCTCGCTCTCTTTTCTTGATCGCCCTCTCACGGGTGAACAGTTCAGTGGCCCGCTTCATTGTAGGATTTCTGCCATGTCTCCACTTTAGTTTGATCATCTCTGTTACTAAGTTATGGAATACTAAATAAATAATTAGATACCTTACCGTTACTGCGCTCTTAAAGAATGATAGGAATAAGAATAATGCGTATTGAACTGGTTTAATTAATTAGTGAGTTTATTTAAGGTAATTATAGAGGCCCTATTTTCTCAGTATGTCTGCACAGCAGTTACAATGGTCTGGTCAAACTAGAACAGAATTGTCCCCATTTTGTCTTTAATAATTACTAACATTAGATATTTCAATGAGATATGGACCGCAAAACAAAATGTTTCCCTGGTTTTCATTTTTTAAATCAAGTCACCGAATGCAAGTAGTCGCCTTAGCTTATTTTGTTATGAGATGTGAATTACTGTTCAATTTAGTTGATGTAATAATCGTTTGGTTTCTTTCACATTAAAAACAAGTTACAATTTTCAAAAGTTTTTTTTTAACGGGGGGAGGCCCTTTTTCCAGTTTAGAGCAATAGCCCCTCCAAATGTCTGTGCACGTCCCTGTTGTCAATGCTACACATGAGTCAGGTTATCTTCAGCTCCCAAGAAGAAGAGCTGTCGGATGTGCATCGAAACACACAAGCAGATATTGAGATATAGAGGTCACATGATCCCACATTCAACGCGATGACAGGAGCTACCGTACGCCCTGAAACACACACAGTTAGGCCGGTAAATGCATCAGTCCTGCACGTAGCCTCCAAGAATGATACCGAGCGTAATGAGAACTGAAGTCTCTCGTGTAGAAGGTTGAAAGAGAACTCGATCATAGCGGGGGAAAAGCAGGCACATGCATCACTTTGCGAAGTACAAACAACATTTGAAGACAGCTCACAGCTGGGAACGACCTCGACTCTGCGCGCCTCGTTCATCTTGCTCTCTGGTTTCTAGAGTCATGTTTACTCCTGGGTGTGTGCTACCTTGTCTTCACACACACAGCAAAGCGGGGAAATGTGATTTTAATGATTAAACAGCGTGAATAATATAAAGTGGCATATTTCCCAGCGACGACGGGTGAGAGGTGACGTATTGATTAATTTGCTCCTCCGTAATTAGACTTTCCATGTGGCATTTCTAGCCCGGGATAATCATTACACTTACAGCTGTTTTAGACATGTTGGTTGTGGGGATCAAATCTAATCAAGTTTTATTTATTAAGCACATTTAAAAACGATTTTTGGTCGAGCCAAAGTGCTGCACATGTAATAAAAGCACACTACAATAACATGAGAAAGAAAAGACAAGAATTGACAACAGAAATATAAAGTCAAAACACAGGGAGGTGTCAGGTGTCA